TCCCAACACCACCAACCGTTCACAAACACACCAGACTCATTCTAACGTGGGGGAAGTGTCTTGCCAAGGAAACAAGCACACTCAACTGGTCTCTTTCTTGTCTCTCTCTCTAGTCTCTTTCTCTGGTATCTTGCTCTGGCCTCTCTCTGGTCTATTTTTTGCTCTGGTCTCTCTCCAGTCTCTCTATCTGGTCTCTCCTGGTCTCTCTCTCCAGTCTCTCTCTCTGGTCTCTCCTGGTCTCTCTCTCCAGTCTCTCTATCTGGTCTCTCCTGGTCTCTCTCTCCAGTCTCTTTCTCTGGTCTCTCTCACCTGGTCTCTCTCTGGTCTCTCTCTCTTGTCTCTTGTGTCTCTCGCTGGTCTCTCTAGTCTCTTTATTTGGTCTCTCTCCAGTCTCTCTCTCTGGTCTCTCCTGGTCTCTCTCTGGTCTCTCTCTGGTCCCTCATGGTCTCTCTCTGGTCTCTCTTGTCTCTCCTGGTCTCTCTCCTGGTCTCTCTCTGGTCTCTCTGGTCTCTCCTGGTCTCTCTCCTGGTCTCTCTCTGGTCTTTCTCATATGTGACCTGACGGCTGATTGGCTGAAGGCACTTTTTCTCACTGGGACTTTATTAAAGGCAGATCTGATTTTTCTACTGCCATTTAGGATTACTTTACCTTCCAAACATCTTTCAACCTATATTTTATACTTAAATGTTCTACTTCTAACACATTTTTAACCATAAAACAACAAAGTCTAAAGTCTAATCATTGTAAACGTCCACAACAAATGCTTCTTCTTCTTCTTCTTTAGCCACAAACACAGTCTCAGAGCTGCTTTCTCGCTGATGTCATGAGATCGTAGCTGACCGCAGCACTGACCGATGCTTATCTGGAGTTCGCGCCTTAGCGTGTTAGCTCAGATACCAGACCTCCATCCCCCAGACACCTCTGAGAACGCCACACCTCCCCCTCCCTCCCCCTCCTCACCCCTCACACTCGGCCCGTTTGGGAATGAGCCTAATTGAATTAAACTGAGGACGTACTCCGGAAAAGGCCGAATGTATTGCTCAATTTTTATTTTGGTTTGACCGGGTCTTGGCTCAGGATCCAGGCACTTTTAAGCTGACACTAAAACCCTGACGTGGGTTGAGGAATGTCATTGAGTCCGAGGCGAGCGACCTCTATTCCCACAATGCACCGGGGCCCATCCCTTTGGAACACACTCCACGACTGCAGCTGTCGGCGAGAAAAGGCCGTTCTTTGTAAACATCGTACTAAAGGTGACATCTTTTTCTCTTGGTCCTGAGGAAATTATTATTATTGCTAATTTTATATCTCTTTGGTCTCTTTAACTATGGTCTCTCTCTGGTCTCTCCCGCGCTGGTCTCTCTGTGGTCTCTCCAGTGCTGGTTCACTCTCTAGTTTTTCTCTCTGGTCTCTCTTTGGTATTTTGCTGGTCTCTTTCTGGTCCATCTAAGTTAAGATAAGTAACTTTAGACTCTCTCTCTGGTTTCTCTCTCTCCCTGGTCCCACTTTCTTTCTAGTCTCTCTCTGGTCTCTCTCTAGTCTCTTTGTCTACTCTCTCTCTCTCTCTCTCTGGTTTTTCTCTCCCTGGTCTCTCTCACACTTCATCTTGTCTCTCTCCCTGGACTATCTCTGGTGTCTTTCTCTGGTCTCTCTCTAGTCTCTCTCTGGTCCGTCTCTAGTCTCTCTCTATTCTCTCTCTCTGGTTCCTCTCTAGTATCACTCTCTGGTGTCTCTGTCGTCTCTCTTTCTCTGGTCCCTCGCTGGTCTCTCTCTATTCTTTCACTAGTGTCTCTCTCTGGTCTCTCTCTGGTCTCTCTCTGGCCTCTCTGGTCTCTCTCTAGTCTCTCTTTCTCTGGTCCCTCTCTGGTCTCTCTCACTAAAGCTACCACTCTACCTTCAAACACATACAATAAAGTAAATAGTCTCATAACATTCACAACGCCTCAAAAACAACACGATACAGAATCCACTCTTTGCCAAACCCATGTTTTCTCTGCTAAACCCACTTCCTCTTTGCCTCGGCGGCGCTCTCCGATGTGTTTTCCTGTCACGCCTTCCGTTATTTACATAATATTGTGAGCTGTCAGCGGTGATGGGCCATGGCGGTACTTACCCAGGGGCCTCGGACAGGTGGCCTCCCTCCCATTAGCGTGTCACCGTCTTAACATGTCCATCTCCACACGCCGCATATAAATGTAAATGTAGCCGCGTTTTTCACCTGCGAGGATCCGGACGTTGGCAGCCGGAGTGATGCCGCCCCGTCCCGCCTCGCACAGCCGCCCTTCAACACGTCAAAACCACAAAATAAATATATATACGTGAGAGATGGAGAGAGACACAGAGAGGAAAAGTTTGGTAATGTTAGCAAGTTTGCGTTTGGGATGTCACATGGTTTTTGACGGCAGGTTTTTTGAACTGGTCTCTTTGATGCTGAAAGAAAATGTTAGATTCTTGTGTTTAAGACATCGCTTCAAATGAGGAGAACCAGGAGGTACCATCGCATTAGTCCTGGTCTCAAAGAATAGACTTTAAATCTGCTCTGTATGTTACAAGTCACTCCGTGATCTCGAACCAAACTACATCTGTGACATGTCACGTGTATTGGTGCAGATGTTGATGTCAGTTCTCAGTTGGTTTGGTTTTACTTGTGTCTCTGTGTCTATATGTACCTGTGCTCCTCTCCCCTTGTTGCTGGTCCATTGTAGTGTCTTTGTTCCTGGTTCTTGAGTTTGTTTTTCACCTGGACTTTTGTTTTATTATTATTTGTATTATTATTATTATACTATTATTATTATTATTATTATACTATTATTATTATTATTATACTATTATTATTATTATTATCATCATTATTCATTTTATTATTGTTATTATTATTATTATTATTGTTGTTGTTATTGTTATTGTTATTGTTATTATTATTATTATTATTATTATTATTATTATTATTATTATTATTATCAAACCATTATTTTTTTGACATTCCTGCATTTTGAGTCTTCTATCATTTCATGTGACCAAATGGACCAAAACTGAGGAGCACAGGGACTGGCCTCCAATCCGATGTGTGTGTGTGTGTGTGTGTGTGTGTGTGTGTGTGTGTGTGTGTGTGTGTGTGTGTGTGTGTGTGTGTGTGTGTGTGTGTGTGTGTGTGTGTGTGTGTGTGTGTGTGTGTGTGTGTGTGTGTGTGTGGTCAGGTGCAGGTCAGGAGCAGTGATTAGTCCTGACCCTCAGAGTTGGGGACAGCAGGCAGCTATGAAGAGGCCTGATGGGCAGAGAAGAGGGGGGAGAGGAGGGGGAGAGAGAGCAGGGGAGAGAGGAGGGGGGAGTGTGGACGGGGGAGATAGGCCTGATGGGAGACTCACATCTGATTGCAGTGGAATTGGCAGCACTTATATGTGTGACCTCTGGAGCTGGGGCCTGACCGGACACTGCAGCGGGTCAGATGTCACACACACACACGCACACACACACACACACACACACACACACACACACACACACACACACACACACACACACACACACAGGAAAGCTACGACTCTGTTGTTGTGTGGATTGTCTGATGAGTCCTTTTTTCTAACATACAACACACTTTGACACCTGCACATTAAAGATATTGGGAGTAAGATTTAACATACTCACTATAAAATCACTATAGTAAATAATAAACATTAGTCTCTCAGTCTGAAACCAAATGATTTTATTTAAAACTGCTCAATGAGACAGAACACTGCCCTGAAGCTAAGTCAGGGTTTCAGTGGAGTATTTACAGAATGGTTGATAAAAAGCCTTTGGCAGCAGAGAATAAGAATAGAATAAGGACCCTCTCAGACCGTAGTCTCCTTCTGGTCCCTCAGAGCCTCGGTAGGCCTGTCACAATCACTCAAATATTCACTCATTGTTCAATAAACGATGAGAGGAATTTTACATTTTGGGATTCAATATTTATCTTTTCAATATTTTCTTCTATATTTTAACCATAATCTTTGTAAAACGATTCCGGCTTCTCAGGCTTGTGGTGTGTAAGTTGAGACTTAAAAACCCCAGAGCACAGGGCCTTCTCTGTGGTCTTAAACCCAGAGCACAGGGCCTTCTGTGTGGTCTTAAACCCAGAGCACAGGGCCTTCTCTGTGGTCTTAAGCCCGGAGCACAGGGCCTTCTCTGTGGTCTTAAGCCCGGAGCACAGGGCCTTCTCTGTGGTCTTAAGCCCAGAGCACATGGCCTTCTCTGTGGTCTTAAACCCAGAGCACAGGGCCTTTTCTGTGGTCTTAAACCTAGAGCACAGGGCTTTCTCTGTGGTCTTAAGCCCAGAGCACAGGGCCTTCTCTGTGGTCTTAAACCTAGAGCACAGGGCCTTCTCGGTGGTCTTAAACCCGGAGCACAGGGCTTTCTCTGTGGTCTTAAACCCAGAGCACAGGGCCTTCTCTGTGGTCTTAAACCCGGAGCACAGGGCTTTCTCTGTGGTCTTAAACCCAGAGCACAGGGCCTTCTCTGTGGTCTTAAACCCAGAGCACAGGGCCCTCTCTGTGGTTTGGTGTTTGGTTTTACAGACAAACAATTTCATTTATTCAAAGTAAATCCCAGACATTATTTATCCTTTTATGTCATAATTAAGTTAATGAGATGGTTGTCAGCAGCTGCAGTGTGTGTGTGTGTGTCTATGTGTGTGTACCTATGTGTGTGTGCGTGTATGTGTGTGTGTGTGTGTATGTTTGTGCGTGTATGTGCATGTGTACACTAATATGTGTGTGTATGTGTTGCAGTATGTGAGAGCGTGTTTCTGTGTGTATGTGTCTATATACTGTATGTCTGTGTATGTGTAGGTGTGTATGCGTGTGTATGCGCGCGTGCGTGTGTGTGTGTAGATCTCCAATTAAAAAACATGGGCAGGGAGGAGAGGGTCCCAGGGAGAGCAGGGAGAGACAGATCCAGTCCAGTTCACACATTACACAGCACTGATCCTGAGTCAGCAGAAGCAGCGACACACACACCTCTGGATGTACACAATATGTCACATTTCGTTTGAAGTTGACATCAAATACAACACACCTGCTCCCTCGGCTCCCACACGCTCAGACGGCCCCCACACGCTCACACGGCCTCCACACGCTCAGACGGCCCCCACATGCTCAGACGGCCCCCACACGCTCAGACGGCCCCCACATGCTCAGACGGCCCCCACATGCTCAGACGGCCCCCACACGCTCAGACGGCCCCCACATGCTCAGACGGCCCCCACACGCTCAGACGGCCCCCACACGCTCAGACGGCCCCCACATGCTCAGACGGCCCCCACACGCTCAGACGGCCCCCACATGCTCAGACGGCCCCCACATGCTCAGACGGCCCCCACATGCTCAGACGGCCCCCACACGCTCAGACGGCCCCCACACGCTCAGACTGCTCCCACACGCTCAGACGGCCTCCACACGCTCAGACGGCCCCCACATGCTCAGACGGCCCCCACATGCTCAGACGGCCCCCACATGCTCAGACGGCCCCCACATGCTCAGACGGCCCCCACATGCTCAGACTGCCCCACATGCTCAGACTGCCCCACATGCTCAGACGGCCCCCACATGCTCAGACGGCCCCCACATGCTCAGACGGCCCCCACATGCTCAGACGGCCCCCACACGCTCAGACGGCCCCCACACGCTCAGACGGCCCCCACACGCTCAGACTGCTCCCACACGCTCAGACGGCCCCCACACGCTCAGACGGCCCCCACACGCTCAGACGGCCCCCACACGCTCAGACGGCCCCCACACGCTCAGACGGCCCCCACACGCTCAGACTGCTCCCACATGCTCAGACGGCCCCCACATGCTCAGACGGCCCCCACATGCTCAGACTGCCCCACATGCTCAGACGGCCCCCACATGCTCAGACGGCCCCCACACGCTCAGACGGCCCCCACACGCTCAGACAGCCCTCACACGCTCGGACGGCCCCCACACGCTCGGACGGCCCCCACACGCTCAGACGGCCCCCACACGCTCAGACAGCACCCACACGCTCAGACGGCCCTCACACGCTCAGACGGCCCTCACACGCTCGGACGGCCCCCACACGCTCAGACGGCCCCCACACGCTCAGACAGCACCCACACGCTCAGACGGCCCTCACACGCTCAGACGGCCCTCACACGCTCAGACGGCCCCCACACGCTCAGACGGCCCTCACACGCTCAGACAGCCCCCACACGCTCAGACGGCCCCCACACGCTCAGACGGCCCCCACACGCTCAGACGGCCCCCACACGCTCAGACTGCTCCCACACGCTCAGACTGCCCCACACGCTCAGACGGCCCCCACACGCTCAGACGGCCCCCACATGCCCGGACGGCCCCCACACGCTCAGACGGCCCCCACACGCTCAGACAGCACCCACACGCTCAGACGGCCCTCACACGCTCAGACGGCCCCCACACGCTCAGACGGCCCTCACACGCTCAGACAGCCCCCACACGCTCAGACGGCCCCCACACGCTCAGACGGCCCTCACACGCTCAGACAGCCCCCACACGCTCAGACGGCCCCCACACGCTCAGACGGCCCCCACACGCTCAGACGGCACCCACACGCTCAGACGGCCCCCACACGCTCAGACTGCCCCACATGCTCAGACGGCCCTCACACGCTCAGACTGCCCCACATGCTCAGACGGCCCCCACACACTCAGACTGCCCCCACACCCTTAGACTGCCACACGCTCAGATGGCCCCCACATGTACAGACGGCCCCCACACACTCAGACTGCCCCACACGCTCAGACGGCCCCCACACGCTCACACTGCACCTTCTGGTGACGGCTTTAAGTCCGGTTTTAAAGAAGATGTCCGCAACTTCAATTAGGAAATATTTTGTATACAATAATACATGTTTGTGTGTGTGTGTGTGTGTGTGTGGGTGTGTCTGCGTTTGTGTATGTGTGTGTATGTTTATGTGTTTGTCTGTGAATATGTGTCTGTGTGTATGTGTATGTGTACAGTATGTGTGTGTGTGTAAGTGTTTGTCTGTGTGTGTGCGTGCGTGCGTGCGTGCGCGCGCGTGTGTGTGTGTGTGTTTGTCTGTGGATGTGGGTTTGCGTGTGTGTATGTGTGTGTGTGTGTGTCTGCATTTGTGTATGTGTTTGTCTATTTGTCTGTGTATGTGTGTCTGCAGTTGTGTATGTGTGTGTCTGTTTGTCTGTGTGTATGTGTTTGTCTGTGTATGTGTTTTCTGTGCACATGTGTGTGTGTATTTTTCATGTATCTTGTGTTGTGTGCTCCTCATTCTTCCTTAATTCCTACATCTCCCTCTGGTGGCAGCACAGGGGCAGTGCAGGCCGATTGCATTATTTACCCATTAAACTTGTTTCTCCACATATTTCCCACTGAAGACAATATTTCACATTTAAACACATGAAATAACTGTTTGTGCATCTTACTGTTTTGATTTTTAATGGACAAAAATAATATAATATTTCTTCTTTAAAGCGTTAGCAGTGATAGGCACGGACTCTCCAAACCCGGTTGTATCGCCCTGAATCTCATCTATAGAAATAGTCGTAAGAAGAAAGACCTCGGAACAGTCAACAGGGACCCGCCCGAGGATCTAAAAGTGCGCGCCAGACCTAAACGAGCTTTAAAAGTGATCAGTAACATCTTAAAATCAATTCTAAAATGCACAGGGAGCCAGTGGAGGGATGCTGACACAGGGGTGATGTGCTCCCTTCTGTTAAAGAAGCTATACCCGATTTTTTTTCTAAGTAGTTCATAAAAATGCTTTTTATTACATACAAGTCGTATCATAATACATAATTTCATTGAAGACTTGAGGTCATTGATTCCACTGTGTATGAAATTCAGGCAGTGAAAAGTGCTGAGTAGAGTCTTAGCGGGACGCTCGTTCTCCTCCACTCACAGAACGAGCAGCGAACAGCCTGCGTCCTCTAGCCCCTACAGCGCTGCTAAACACCAGGGCTTCGACTTCAAAATTTGAATATAATTCTAAAATAAAAAATATATACATATTTGAACAAATATTAGACAACCCTTATAATTAGAAATGTATTTAATGACTGCAAATAAAATAGTTAGCTCCCAAAGGTTTCACCGGGACGTGCTAGGCAGGTAACAGCTAAGCTAGCTAGCTGTTTCATGGTAACTTCCGGGTTTTTCGCGATCACTTTTTGTCACTTTAAAACAGTATTTTTTGTCATGAAAACATTGACAGCAAATTCTGAAATCGTCCGTGCATGTGTGTTAAGGATGTATACAATGGTGTAGGTTTGGTTCCAATCTTGGTGGGGACATTCACTACGACCTGAGTCTACACCCATTGACACGGGGTCCAGAGTTTCTCCCCCAGAATTTGTTGTGTGATCACACACTATATTTGCAATAGTGTGTTGCCTTCTATACTAAACTCAGCTGTAGACTGAATGAGAAGCAGTTAAGGATTTTTTCTAATAGTTAAAACAAAATCAATTTGATCAGAGCTTCTGAGTTTTGTGTTGCGTTCATTCTATACTGACTTAAACCTAATCCAAATCTACATAATAGCCCTCACCTGAGGCTCTAACAGTTCAGGAACTGCTCTCGATACTTGAAATAAATCATGCTCTGATCTTTCAATTTCCTATAATAAATAAAAACAGAGGAGAAAATATTGAATTAGAATCTACAGTGAGTAGCTCACTACATTGTTTGACATATACGATCAATCTCTAAAAACAATTCATAGTCCCATGCATACCTACAAAATTCCAACCTCGCCTGATGCACTGAAGGGCCTGTTGCTTCTACCTCAACATTCCCTATATTGTTCTCTCTTGTTGGTTGAGTTTCCTATGTATGTTAACAGAAGATTAATCATCACAATTCATAATTTGCTATTACTTGTGCTTTCTCTTACTTACTTTCCAACTGTTAAAAAAGCTCCTGATATCTTTTATCTTTTTTTGTGGAGGTGGCATTTTTTCTAAATTATATAAGAAGGTATAGAAAATCAAAAACAGACATTCATATACATGAACTGCAGAATCATTTATATAACTTGGCCAATGTCAAAAGTTACATAGTATTTCTCAATACAATGAGTTAACAAGAGTTTGGCAATAAGTAACAGTGTGGATTTTTCTATATTTTCTTTTTTTTATTCCACTCTCAACCCAAAAAGGCAAGTAATGACTCACAGGGCTCTCAAGTATGCAAAATAAAAACTTAAATGACCTGTTGTGGTGTGTTTTGCGCACAACCAGCATGCATCGTTAACGCAATGGAAAATTTAGGTATCCGAGCTTTAATTTCGGGAGCGCTGGTTGCGCTTTGGGAAGAGTCAGGGGAGAGACAAGTCAGAGACACAGGGGAGAAACGGGGGAGATACGAGGGAGACCCGCACTTGCAACATGGTTCTGTCTGCATATGGTCCGAGCTCGGTACCATGTTAGAGCTGTGCTTTCACTGAGCGCCGCGGCTGTCATTACAAAGCGGCAGCAGCTGCACCAGGACGTGCACATTCGAGTGCATCACTTGAATGTGCTTTGAGCAAATAACAGCAAGTGCCCGCTGTCACACATTTCACAGAAATTACATTATCAGCAGATAAAGGTTGTAAATCGTGGATCCGTGGAATATTTTCATCCCTAGTTTATCCTGATTCACACAACACACCCACTTATACATTTTGGATAGTAAGAGCACAATAAGTATTTTTTCAGCCTTTCAACCAACCTGTTTCTTTATTGGAGCCAGTTCTGTTCTGTCTCTGTGCCGTGTGAGCTCCTCGGAACATTAAACAGTGCGCTGACAGATTAGAAATAACGTAAGTACTTTGAATGGTAATAGATCTACAATACTTTCCTCTGATTACTCACGTGCTACAACGCTCAGGGAATAAAAAAAACACTTGCTTCACGCTGGCTAACTTTTAAAAATTAAACAGTCGCTCAGTGCTTCAGTTTGGCGCTGAAGAAGACAGCCAATCACTGCAGAGAACGGAACGGGTCACGTGCTGCTGCTGCTGCTGTTGCTCTGGAGGCGAGGAGGAGGCGCGACGTATGCACAAACGGAAGACATGTGTCCCGGACCGTCCGGGTCACGGGACATCATGTCATTTTGGTGGGGACTTATTAGTCCTCACCAAATATTGGTGGGGACATGTCCCCATGGTCCCCACGCAAACCTACGCCCTTGGATGTATATGTATACTGTATTGTCCGATTGACGTTTAATGATGTTGATTTATTGATATGTATTTGTTTATTTAGCGTGGCTAGCTCGGCTAGCTCCGCTAGCTTCTCTACCCAGACAAGTGTGCAGAAAAACTGCACAATGTAGTGACAGGCGCTGATAGCTTGTTGTACTTGCAAAGTAATGGCAGTATTTTACACACCTGAATTACAAACAGAGATTGGATTGGGGCTGCGGTCATTATTGGTTTGAGAGTTCTGTTATCAAGAAAAATGATCGGAAGAATTGCATTCAAGTCAATGGAGTGTTCTACTGCTGCTGTGAGGAGCTGTATAATAAATTATAATTAAATATTAGAATATATTCTAATGTTTAAATTAATACATTCGGACGTGAAACTAATGGTATTCTTTTACTTATATATTGTGTTAGCAGTGCTTTGCTTTAGTGCCATTTAATCAGTGATTGTTGCACAGCTTACAAGAAGTTGTGCTAATGCTAATGTTAGCATACGTATCAGATCGCAAATGGAGCTTTCGCGAAAGTTCACTGTGGTAGACCCGGCTGCTGCTGCCAGGCCACAGGCTGCTCTTCCTCGACTCATCAATACCAGCAACGCCCACATCCAGTCAACCAATAACCACCAGGACAGCAAGTTAAAAGCCGGAGACTCTCACTTCCCGGCCTTCTGAAGTCTGCAAGTACATGTCTGCCCTCCTCGCAGCATCTTCCTGCTCGCCTTCTATGGCTTCTCTGCATAAGCGTCTCACTACTGCTCACTCAACCTTCATGCGGTCCGAGACGCGGCTTCCCGACCATCCTACTATCCTGATTATCTACTCTCCGACCCAAGATTCTAAGCGTAAGGGCGCCTGCAACATCAATGGCCCTCTCCGATATGTCTCTCTGCCCCTACAGGTCTCCGCTTCTACACGGACGCTGCCCCTTCCGTGGGTTTTGGGGGGTTCTTCCGGGACCAGTGGTTCGTCGGGCCGTGGCCCGCTACTTTTCCCCGGAACATTTCCTCTGCCTACACGAGACATTCCCAGTGGTCGTGGCCTGCGCGCCGTGGAATCACACGTGGCAGAGAAAGAGGATCTCTGTCATGCGTGATCATCTCGACGTAGTGGAAGCATTAAACAAAGGTCGCTCTTCTCACCCAACATAATGTCCCCTGACCATTCAACCTTCATCTCAAACATTCAAAGATCAGAGGCGCCTGCAACACAATAATAGCTCGCTTCGACACATCTCTCTGCCCCTACAGGTCCATGATGCGTTACACTCGCCTCCGACGAAAAAAAAGATTTTAACGGACCTCTAATTCCCGCTCCAGTCAACCTTCCCATGACAGCAACCTGGTTCAGAGCTCAGCTAAGATCCCTACTGCTCCTCTGCAATTTGTCTCCCCAGCTCTATACAGCCCACTCCTTCAGGATAGGCGCTGCCACGCGCGCGACCTCGCTGGGGCTCCCCCACTCTTCTCTGCAACAGCTGGGGCGCTGGTCCTCTTCGGCTTCTCCACC